GTATTAAAGCTAAAACTGAACTTTCTTGCCACATCCACAGAAAGTTACCATGTGATGGGTAAACTGTAAAAAAGTTGACAAGAAAGATGTTTGTTCAGAAAGAACATCTGTAAGCAAAAGAACTCACATCAGATGTCATTAATGAATTTTGTATTCAGAAATTTAAAGTTGTTAACTTTATTTACATAAAGGAATCAGACTTATAATTGCAACATAAAGGAAGATAAAGATATAACAATCTGGTTCTTGTAGCTTTATTAGTATATAGATCTTGAGGTTTAGATTAGTAATACATATACTAACTTCACAATAATCCTCAAATCAAAAAAGTAACAAGGTATATTTCAACCTGATGCTTATATTTTAAGAAATGAAAACGTTTTGTTTAAATTAAAATTTTAATATACAAATTTTAATTTTTTGTTATAAGCTCTATAAAAGTAATAATTTTAATTTTTTGTTATAAGCTCTATAAAAAGTAATAATTCCGTTTTAAATTTTGATAAGCTTTTCATGATTTGCTAATAAAGTAAAAATTAAAATGCTGTGTAAATTTTTCTCTCAGAAATAATTAAAAATTCTCCAATGAAAAAGTTATTTTAAATAGAAATATTTAGCACTAAAATAATTCAAAATTAATTTTTATCATTAAATTTTAATTTAAATGTAATGTTAAAGCAGTTGCTAGCAATCAAACTTTATAAATTACCATATAAATGTAATGTTCTAGCTGGATTCTAGATGTTTTTAAGATGTTTTAGGCTCTTCTATTTTTTTCTATAAAAATTTCTGTATGCCATACAATTGAACCTATGTACCCATGCATTTAAAACTTTTGAAGTTAAAGTCCATTTACTAGAACCAATCCTTAATTTGAACAAATAACATTTACACCGATGAAAACCATTTAAACCATGAAAGCAGTAGTCTATGATAATAAGTAGTTGACTGAAGTAAATATAAGTGAAAGTTTTTTTAGATAGGAATATTTTAGCTAGCCTCAAGAGACTTGTTTTTAGAGACTTGAATTATTTGAAAAAATAATTCAAGTCTCTAAAAATGTTAAAAGAAAGAAAAAACTTAATTTTGAAAAATAAACTTTTGATATCAAAAATTTTAATTTATGCTTTTTCTATTTATATCTACCTTAAAATGGGGTGTATAGCAACAGTTTGTGGCCTTTTGACTTATTTTCAATTCCCTTTTAACTATTATTTATTGATTAAAAGATTATGCTTAAGAGGAATATTATCGGCTTTATTAGGTTTATGGAAAAGGATAAACTTTGTTTTATTTACATTTATTTAAATTCGGTTACATAAGCACCTCATTAATCTTAATTAAACGGAAATTTTTTATATTAATTTTTTTTAATGTTTAACTAAGATTATTTAAAATTATTGTTTTTTTTATTTGTTTATGTTTATTATATTTGTATTCCTTTTTTAATTGATGTATAAAAATACATAAATGAATAAAAAATAATCATATAAATAATTTTATTTAGACATTGAAAAAAAAAAAAATTATTTACTATTTTACACAGATATTCTGTTTAAGCCCTGAAAAGGGTTGTAATAAGCTTAAAAGTCTGATCTTGCACTCCTTTACAAGTTAACAGTGGAAAAACAAAATGAACTCATTGAGATTACCAAAAAAAAATATCAAATGTGCCTGTTGCTTTTCACCCAGCTAATTGGGGTGAATAGCAACACTGGTTAGATTGTTTGTATTTTGCCATTAGAAATAACACAGAGTGCATAGCAACACGTTAAATTTGTACACACAATGTATTTAAGATTTTTAAAAACACAAAATTCATATAAAACTTGTTAAATTCTAAGAAAAAAGTGACAAAATTATATTTTTAAGCAAACATTTTCCTAAAATTGAATCTAAAGGTTTCTGAACATCTTTAAGAAAACTGAATGCATTTAATTTATTGTAAACCCATCAAGATCATCATCAAATGAAATAAGTCCTTGAAATCTTCCAGCTGTGCACAATTTCGGTTTTCCAAGCTTGTGGATGACATCCTCAGGTGACTTGAAGAGTGCTTCTTCGTCTGTTTCCAAAAATCTTAAGCCATGGGAGGTCTTCTTGTAAAACTTTCCAATATTTTTTTTTTTTTAATTTTAATTCACCTCCTCAAGGCCGAGAAGGCCACTACAGACGAGGAGGCTACTTATTTGTGGCTATAACCCTCTCTCAACTCTATAACTCCGAAACACGAACCTTGACGAACAAGGCCGCTGCGCGGAGAAACGAGTTGAGCGCGGTACTACCAGGGACGTGGTGGGGATCGAACTCGGAACCACTCGTTTATGAAGCGAGCACTCTACCACTACACCACTACCGCATTAAATATATCCCTCTTCATCAAATTCTATAACAACATACAAGCGAAACAAATTTTTTGTCTTTCCAATCACTTTTATAAGGGCAAAGTCCCCAAGTGAAAACTTTGAAAAATCATTTTCCTTCAAAGTTTTGTTTACCGATAAAAATGAATCTTCCTCTGAGAAGCTCTCCCTCCATTCTGCATCACTGTCTTGGAGTGAATAGTCAGACTCTTCAGTAGTTGATTCATCAGGATCTTTAACATGTTTTTTCCTTTTTAATGTGTTCTTTGATCCTTTGCTCGTGTTACTAGGTCCTGCTGTACATTCATTTTTGTCAGTAGAAACCTCTGTTGGAAAGTCTGCAACTTCAACACTTTTACCTGGAAGGATGGATACTTTTTTTCTTGTTTGCCTTGCCTTCGGTTTGTCGGATTGTCTTATAGATTCCATGTATTGCTTGAAGCTGGCATCCGAGGTTTCAGCGGCAGCTTCATTGCTAACTAATCTCTTAGAACCTTTAGAGGGAGGCAGCATGCCAAGGACTTTTTCCCTATTCAGTGGAACAACGCCACATTTTTTGAAACCAGAAACAACATTCGCTTCTTTAAGTGACACAAATAGGTCTTTTAGAAGAGGTGGGAATCGATTCTTTGGCAAAGTCACTTTACTTCTTCCTGGGCCTTGTTTCCATTTTAAAAGGATGGATCTCCAAGTCTGTTTAAGGGGGTGGAAGAATGCCACGTCCAGTGGTTGTGTAAGGTGAGTGGAGTTGCTTGGTAAAAATACAAATTTGATGTTATGTTCTTGACATATTTTAATGACATCTACAGATAGGTGTGAAGCCAAATTGTCACCTAACAAGACCTTCACTCCTTTGAGTTTTGATAAATGTGGTATTGCAATGGTCTCGACCCAGTCTTGAAAGCAATACGAATCAAACCACCCTGACTTCGTTCTGTTGAATCTCGAGTTTGGTGGTCCCCCAACTCTCCAGCTGTCATACATGTGCTGAGCTTTGTATACTACATAAGGCGATAAGATGGTTCTGTCACCAGCAGCGGCAAACATAACCGACACTGAAGCCTTTGTAGAGTTCATAACTCTTTCGGGATACTTACAGCCCCGCCGAGCTATAACCACTTTCCGGCCCGGGTCGTTGCATAAGTTGGTTTCATCGTAGTTGATGATATTACTTGCCGGAATATCTTTTAGTTCTGTAGTAAGATTGTCAAAGTATTCATTTATAGTCTCTTCATTAACTGCGGCTCTCGACCGTTTAATATTTTGACACATGCGAGCCGATAGTTCCTTCTTGTGTCGTTCCAGGAAGCTGTGTACAAAATCAGGCCCAGGCATATTATCCTTGAATTTTGGGACAGTTTTGCCCTGCATTTCAATATAATCCTTAATTAGCAGTCTCAAAGTAATTGAGTCAATTGGATATCCCCAATCACTGCAGATCTGAAGTCTACTAACTAAGAGGTTTTCATCATATTCCGACAAAGGGGTTTGGCCACCTTTTTTCTTAGTTTCACCTCTTTTCATATGTCTGTAAAGTACAGTATGATCTATTTTATATTTTTCTGCAACTTTTCTAAAACTACCACCAATTTGTACTTCGTTAAGAGCTTTTTTAATCACTTCAGGGTCATACTGCCTGCATTTTTTAATACTCACATACTTTCGAGGCATCCTCTTTCAGTTAGGCCACAAATCATACCTGAAACAAAAAACAGCTCTTATAGTAATCAAATAAATATATTTATATACTCTGTGATCAAGTTAAATACTTACAATCAGTATTTATGTTAAAAATAACAAAACAAAAAAACAATTAGCTGTTGTTTATGAGAACTAATGGGGTGAATAGCAACAGAAAAAAGTGTGTTGCTATTCACCCCTGGTTTTGTTAAAACCATGCCTAACTTAAAAAATTTATTTTGTATAAATAAGTTATTATTTAACTTAAAGTCATTTAAGTTTTGTTTGAAAGATACATAAAGTCACCTTTTAAACAATATGATAAGTTAATTGAAATAACAGTGTCATACTTACAGTCAGAGCTTTTGACGAACAAATTTTCTCAAAGATTTTCAGCGGCAAATCAATCAACAACCTCAAACAGGGATGCCAACATAATTAAATATAATTTCTCTAACAAAACAGGTAACTACCCATATTTCAGAATGAAAATTCGCTTTGCATTTAAAAGGGATCATAAGTAGCAAATTTTCAAAATATTTATGAAGTTTTGTTGCAATTCACCCCTACTGTTGCTATACACCCCTACTGTTGCTATACACCCCATTTTACGGTACATCTAGTGGCATCAATCAATAGAATAGCTCATATTTAATCTTATACTATAAACAAAAATTTAATGCCAGTGTTGCGCACAATTTTGAGTTTTTGATTTTGTATTGGTTTTAAAAAAATGAAAATTACAAACTAATTAAGGCAATAATAAATCTATGAGTTTTTATAGATGTTAAGGATAAATTTATTTAAATAAATTTTAAATAAAGTCTTGGTTTAATCAAAAGTTAAAAGGCTATATAATTATTTTCAAATATACGTGCTTAGTTGTAAAATATACGTGCTTAGTTGTAAAATTGGCAAAGGAATAAAAAATTATAATAGTATTTTTTTTATTTTTAGAATCATTATTAAAAAACCTGGAAAAGATTTTAACTTCAATTTAATTCAAATTACAAATGGTACAAATAAAAAAGATTCATGGAGCTTTAATCAGTTCAGCTTACCTTATACTGCTATTACATCAACAAGAAAGTCAAGTAAATGTGAAAACTCTACAAGCGCTGAAAATATTTTGTTTAAACGTACTCGAGATAAAAATAAATTTTCATTTTCTGGGCAGGTATATGGTTTTATTTTTTGAAATTAATTTTTTATATATAGGTTTTTAAATAAAGGTTCATTACAAAAAGTTTATAAATTTTTTATTTTTAAAAAATGTATTAGTTGTATTAAGTTACATATGTTAAAAATTAAAAATAGAAAAGAAGAAAGATGATAAAAATCACGGTGTTGTAAGATCCATTTAAAATGTTATTGAACCTTTTTTTTTCTGTATTTTTTAAAATTAGTAAAAATGAATTATAAATTACTTATATTCTGTTTTATTACTTTATATTGGGGGAAAAATAATGAAACGATATGCAATATTACTATTATTTAGAAATTAACAGATTTTTTAAATGAAAAAATTGTGTTTTTAATTATATAAATGAAGGAGATAAAAATACAAATGATAAATAAGGGAGCATATTCTAGTTAACTGTAAATAAAAAGAGGCTCATTACACCCCTTCCTTATCCCTTACAGATGTAGAAAAAATTCAGGTAGTCTACTACTTGAAGTCCTTTTCTTCTTTCTAGTTGAAGTTTACATTCATTAAACAGTTCTAACATTTTTATTCAAATCATTTATCAAAATCTGCATAGAGAAGTTCAAGGCAAGCAGATAAGATTTATTTAATTGGATACGTGACCAAATTACTGGTATTAAGTTACCATCAAATAGTCAAGTTTTACCCAGTTTGTTTTTTAATATTCGTCAAGTAAAGTTAAATGTAAAAGATGCAGCTAGACTAACAATACAGGAAGTTTTATTTTTTTGGGAAAAAGCAGGAATACAAACAAAACACTTAAAAGAAAGCTAGAAAACTTCAAAAGGAATAGAGAAAGCTGCAAAAATTGCAAATTGAACTAGTGCTGCTTAGACTGAAATAGAAAAAGCTTTTAAGGCTACACTTAAAGGGACTACCAAGTCCCAAGACATGTTGTGTTCATATTAAAGAGAATGTTAAAAAAAACGTCTGAGCAAATTTTTTTTGATTAAAACTAATTAATAAATGTATACCAAGAAAAACAAATCTTGTTGTTTTAGTCGAAGCTCGTTTCTCTGTTTTTTCTGGTATTTTGAGTATGTAAAATAAACGCAATTTTCCAGGCACATTATACAGACTTGATAATTTATTCAAGCGCGTTTAATTCATAGGAGTTTTAGAGTATGACGTCATGGGAAACATTTTAGAAATTCTTTAAAAATTTTACTATTAAATTTTACTCAAACAGCTAACTATAGTAACTTATTTTATTAAAAGTTTATTTTATTAATTGTTCGTTAGTTTTTTACAAATCTAGCGAACAATTAATTAAACCAAGCACTAAGAAAAGATATAAAAATTAAGAATATACTAATAAAATATATAACTTGTAATTAACTTTCAAAATTTTGACAATTTAAAAAATATATATTATAAAACATTTATTTTTGTAAACAAATGATAATAGTTTAAAAGTTTTACGGCTTTACAGATGTGGCTCCGAGAATGAGCCATAATATTAAAGTATATATATATATATATATATATATATATATATATATATATATATATATATATATATATATATATATATATATATATATACTTATAGTATATAAAGTATATATAGTATTAAAAATGAGCCATAATATTAAAGTTCATTTGATAATGTATTCTTAAAAAAATTTATGCTAGATATCTCAAAACGCAACAAATCGTAAATAATACAATTCCTAAAACATTTCAACAGAATACTCTAGAACTTTATTTTGCTTAGTCAGCATGTTTTTTGAACCAATAGAATTAGTTTGTTCGCAAATTTGGCAGGTTTTTAGTGTCGCGAATATTCTTTTTATTCTTCCGCAAGATGTTTTAAGAACATTAAAGTTAATTATGTTTCCATGTATGTCTGTAAAATAAAAATTAATATATTAATTTTTAATTTTTAAGCCCCCGCCATAATATATATTGGATGTTATAATGGAAATATAAATAATGAAATAAGATCACCTCAATACCAAAAAATACATTTTTGAAAATCAGAGAAAAAATGCGTTAATAATTTTTTTATTAATATTTACAAAATAAATTAATAAAAGTGCATTATTATTTAGGTTAAAAATTATCTAATATTTTTGTCTATTATTTTGAAAGAAAAACTTATAACAAAAGAAATCAAAATACACGTGGTCTAGACAATTATTTAAAAAAAGTTGCAAAAATAAAATACTATTTTGTTTTTTATTTTATTTTTGTTTTTTATTTTATTTTGTTTTTAATTTTATTTTGTTTTTAATTTCATTTTGTTTTTAATTTTGTTTTACAAACACATAGAACTTTAAAATATAATAAAAATGAATATGATTTGAAAATTGTATGTAAAAAATAACAATCAGTGTTTTGAACAAACAAAAAAAAATCTATGACGTCATGCTCTAAAACTTTTATGAATTAAACGCGCTTGAATAAATTATCAAGTCTGTATAATGCGCCTGGAAAATCACGTTTATTTTACATACTCAAAATACCAGAGAAAATGGAGAAGACAAGTTTCGACTAAAACAACAAGATTTGTTTTTCTTGGTATACATTTATTAAATAGTTTTAATCAAAAAAAATTTGCTCAGATGTTTTTTTTTAACATTCTCTTTAATATGAACACAACATGTCTCGGGACTTGGTAGTCCCTTTAATGACCTATTTGTATTGCTCATCAAAATGTACTTAAAACTGCAATCGCAGATGACTAGTTATTCTTACTTAAACAAAGAGAGGTTGCCCAAGTTGCCTGGGAGGAGTTGGTTTTAACTTCTTAAAAGCTGAAGAGTGTCAGCAAAAAAGGCATGTTTCTGAAATGATGAGAACAGCAAAATCTAAGAAAAGTGTAGGTAAGTTATTTAATTCTATAATTATTTGTATGTAATTATAAATATTTATATATAGTTATATAAATGTATATTTATATAAGTATATATAATTATAAAACAAGATTGTATTATTATAGTTATACCTTTTATTTAGTTTTCATTTCATTTATTTATATATTTTTATTTTTTTGATTGTTTATTAATCACATACATTTTTACATACAAAAAGTATATATAAAATTTAAAAGAAAATGAATTTTCACTTAAAAAAAGTAACTGTTTTCCATCAATTAATGAAACTTCTTAATAATATATCCTATATTATTAAGATATATATAAATATAATATATTCCCTTTGCGTAAGCTCTAAAAAATATATATTCTCCTCAGTTTAATATCAGATTTTAAAAAAATGATTAAAAGAAGGAATAGTAGTTTAGAAGAGTAATTTATTTATATAAATAGAAATAAAGGTCAAACTTAAAAAAAAAGTCAAATTTAGGGTATTGTTTGAATAATTCTAATTACCTAAAATTAATTATTCTGACACTTTGTTTTATTATAGCAGTGTGTTTTTTATTTTTCAGAATTAGAAAAGTTTGAATCTTTAGAAAAAAGTACATCAGATGAAGAAGGATTTAAGATTGTTCAATTCACAAAGGAGATAGACATGGCAACACTAGATGATGAGCCTGATAAAAAGAAGAAAAAATACATCTTAAGAACTGAGGAAATTATTACTAAAAAGATATCATTATTATTGGATAGGTGTGCTATCTCAGCAGAGATGCTGCTCAACAATAGAATCTCTGGGTCGTGACTCTCTGATATTTGTTTTTAGTAGAAGCATCATTTGTTTATGTGTGCAAGAATTTAAAAAAGATAGAGCAAAACTTATTCAGCAAAGGTTGATAAAATCAGATTTAAAAGGAGCTGTGGTACACTTGGATGGAAAGTTACTTCCAGATATTTTAAATAAAGAAAATGTTGAGACAGTTGCTGTTTTGATAAGCCACGGATAAGAAGAGCAGTTAACTGGAGTGCTACAGTTAGAAAATAGTGCAGGGAGTAATGAGGCAAAATTGGTTTATACAGCACTTGAAAAGTGGGGCGCGCTAAACAAGATTGAAACAATGTGTTTCAATACAGCTGCAGTAAGTAAATACAGATCGTATTAAGAGTGCTTGTGTTATATTAGAGCAGTTAATGGGAAAAATTGTTGTATCTTCCATGTCACCACATATTTTGGAAGTAATATTAAAATCTATTTTTTAATGGTTTGATGGGAAAGACAACAGGCCCTCAACCTGATATTTTCAAAAGATTTCAAACAGAATGGCAGAAGATTAGTAAGAAAAAAAGCCAGGAATAGATAACAAGGCTCCAGCGAACAAAGTGATCAACCCTGATGAAATAGTCAATTATCTATAGGAGCAGTTAACAGTTCAGCATCAAAGGGATGATTACAAAAACAAATAAAAATTTGTTGAATATTTTTGGGACTCTTCCCTTCAGATAATATCCCGTTTGCTATTCCTGGAGATTTTCATCACACAAGATGGTAAAAGTGCTATATTCGATTAAAATATATTTTTTTAGGGATCAATTTAAGTTTACCAAGTTGAAGAGAAAAGGGTTTCACAATCTCTACCTATTTATTGTCAATATTTATGCAAAAGTATGGTTGGATGCCCCAAAAATATCATTTGCTCCAAGCCAGGATTTACAATTTATAAAATCTTTAGCTAATTACAAGAAAATTAATAAACAAACTTCAGATATAACACATGATCTTGACGATGACTTCAACATAAAACTATCAATAACATTAAGTGAGATACCTGAATTATTGGGAAAAGATGTGAACTTTTTATTTCACCCCTATCAATCACATCTATCAAAAGAAGATTGTATGTCATACTTATCTAAAAAGATTTGCAAAAAACTCATTCACTTAGCTGCCGAGGTTATGGAATTTATAGGTAATATGATCATCCTTATGTAATGATCGTGTGTAACGAAAACCAGTTGAGCAGCTCTTAGCATTTATTCCCATGCAAAACCATTTTACAACTTCCATGCTTGAAATTGTTTTAAAAAAGTTAGATTAGTTAGAAAAGTTAGAAAAGCGATCAAGATTCAAAATGGCTGTGGCCAGTCATACGACAATGCTAGTAATAAGTCTGGTATCTATTTTGGTTTACAAGCGAGAATTAAAGAGATCAATGTTCTCATTGAATAGATTCCGTGTGAACCTTGTAGGAGTGAGTGTCACAGAATCCAACGAAGCTGCTGTTGATTTCTTTAGCTTTCTTCAAAAAATGTATAACTTCCTTTCTGCATCAACACATCGATGTCTTAAAGTCCAAGTTCTTTGCATTAACGCATTAATGTATCTTAATGTCAAAGTTCCTTGCTGGAATACGTTTTAAGATTCCCTAGAATCTCTCACAAACTGGTTGGTCAGCTTGTGCTGATGCTTATTAAGCAATTGAAAAGGGTTATTCTATTTATAAGGTGATTAAGAATAATTTAGAAAATCGATTAAAACATCTTATATTTGTAGTTGTGCACACTTATTAACAAATATTTTCTATATAGGCGGCTCTTCTTGATATTAACAACAATCAGAAATTAAAGTTAAGAGCAAAGGCCTTTAGACTTTAGACCAAAATGGAACAACCTGAGACAGCTATTTTAATAATCATTTGGAATATAATCATGGAATGGTAAACAAAGTTAACAAGAAACTGTAGTTTGTAAAGCTTGATTTAGGTATGGTTTGAAGCACTTTACAACTCCCTGGAGCATTAGGTGCAGCAAGTTCGCTCTTTTTTTGAGCAATTAAAAAAGTGAGCCGTGTCTTTGGTCAACACGGATGAATAGGTCTATGTTCAAAGGCTCCCAAGAGTACACAAAAGGCATTACAATGATGAAATTAACAGTGGGGAAACTATAGTGTTTTCTGCGCAATTTTAAATGATTGACGACGTTAATGAGATCACGGACAAACTAAGAGTGATATAGATAAAAAAACAAAAGTATATTCTGAATTGAACTCTCTGTTTAGTTTTCTTGTGAACCTCTGCAGCTACTTGCAGTGCACAACAACTTGTTGACCGATCCTATTGGTCTTAACTTTCACTTGTTGAACGAATGTATTCCTTTTGGAGCTTTTTTCAGGGACGTCTTTGAGATTTTTCTTTTGTTCAAATAGAAAACCGGGTATTGGATTCCATCTACCTAAAATCAGCATTTCCAAGCATAAAATGCAGTACAAAAGGTATTTTAAAACCTTTACTAATTGCAACTTGTTTTTAATAATAAATAGCGCGAGAATCTTGTTTAAATACAAAAGAAAATACATTATAAAGCCATAGCGCAATAATTACAAAGATTTTTTTATTTGAAACCACTGTTAAATTTGAATGCTAGGAGGCCAACAGAGGCCAGGAAGTCTAAAGTGCCAAGAGGCCACAAAGTACTTAACCCGGCCTTGAGTATAACAGGAAAATAAAAAAATGTTTTTACACCAATTTGAGTTGTTGTAGTTTTTCTGCATTATATCTGAAGTTTTCTATAACTATTAAAAAATTTTCATTTTCAGGTCTTTTATTGTAAGGTTTTTGTTGCTTATTAACAATGATATTTATAGTTAATTAATATTTTTGAAATCGGAACCTTTTTTTTCAATTTTTTTTTTTGATAAATAAAATGATGATATTTTATTTTTAGTTTACCGTTAAAATTAACTGTTCAGAACAAGCTGGTTTATATAATTTATACTTTCATAATTGTCTTACAACTTCTAGCAAACCATTTGCAGTTGACATGGAGGTTTGTTTGTTTCTATTGATTTTGAATTTATTTGTAATTTAAAATTCAATTTAATATCGTAACAAAAAATCATATCAAAGCTTTCATATTCATATATTTGATATGTGAATATGAAGTATTTATGTTGTATATGGTGATATATGAAGGTGAAGTATTATTGTATATGGTGCAGGAGCGTGGTGGCCCTAGAGGCTATGTGGTGGCCCTAGAGGCTATGGCCCTAGAGGCTTTTGTCCTTCAAAATACAATCCATATTCGAACTTTAAACAATTTAGAGATAATAGAAATATACAAGGTTTTTATATACTAGTTTGTTTTGTTTTATAAAGAAAAATACATATTCATTAGTAAAAAATGGAGACTGTCATTAAACTAAAACGTGCCTTAGTATTTATTTAACGGAACCTGTAATGTGCGCGTGCATAATAAAACCTCCGTTATATAAATATATTCAACGTAATATTAGTGTCATCAGCGGATGTTGTAGTCTACTCATGATTTCTTTACCTTATAATATAACTTGATTTATGAAAAAAAAAACTTATTGAATCGCACGCAGAAGAAATTTAACAAATTGTCTTCATTCAAATATTGCAAGTAACAGGTAATTTTTTTTTCTGTGCCGACCCCCTCCCCTCCGCAAACTTAAACTATATACCTTTAATTAATAAGAAAAGCAAAGACATTTTTTTTAACATCTCGAAAAAATGTCTTGATATTTTTGTTATCATGATAACAAAAATATTAAGACATTTTTTGAGATTTTATTAAAAAAAAAGTCAATTCTTAATTACAAATTTTTTTGCAAATGTTTTTTATTATAAATTCAGTAAAAAATTCATAAAAAATCTATATTACAAAAAACTTTTATATTCTGTATTAATAAATATGGAATATAGATTTTTTAAAAGTTTTTTACTAAAAACTTTAAAAAATTACTACTTTTTATTAAAAACATTGCAAAAAATTTGTAGTTAAGGATTGACAAACAATTTTTCATGTTGCTAAATATTTGGATAAAAAGTTTAGCGTCAAATTAATTGCTATAAAAAGGAAAGGTATATCGCGATGAAAAGTTACAACAATTTTTTTTAAAGTAAATTCTTTTTTTTAATAAATATCTTTACATATCATTATTTAAAAGTTAATGTGGTTTTTTTTAAATTAATTACTTCTTTTATGTTACCGCTAATTTAAAAGTTAAAAAACGATAAAAAGTAGCTTAACCAAAACAGCTCTACGCGTACGTAAAAAGCGCTTAAGGCATACGTAAATAGCTCTAGGCGTAACGCTTTAAAACAAGGCTTGTAGTGTAAAGATTGGTGGCAATAAAACATGTACATCGAAACCTCTCAAATGGCTCAAACCATCAAAAAATGTTCAAAAACTATATGGACCATCAATGCTAAGTGAAATCTAAATAAAGCCTCTATTAAGAGATACCTTAGTGTTTACAAGGAAAAAATTTTCAAATCGTTTAAATTTTGATCCACGAGCCACAAATCAACAAGAAGTTTGGATGACAGTTTGGAAATAACAAATTATAATTTCGGATATGTCATGCTTATGCAAACAAAAATAGTTCCTATACCTGATATTTCGAATGTTGGTCAAAAAATCGAAGTTAATACTTTCTTGCATCCATCTCTCCCTAAAAAGCCTTATGAAGTTGTTACTTATTTAGATTGTAAGATTACATATAAAGTTTTATTGATGCAGTTAGCTACAAATTTTGACGAAATTTCTGAACTAGAACACTTAACAAGAAAGCAATCATGTAATAATGATTGGCATAAACACTGCAAAGGCAGAGTCACGTCATCAAAAGTTTATAGTGTTGTTCGTAAAGTAAATAATGACTTAGAGATTTTATGTCCAGAAAAAACAGCATCCATTATTATTGGCGTATTATATAGTTCAAAAGTTTTTAAAACAAAAGCTACTTCCTGGGGATTATGTCATGAAAAAGATGTACTTGAAGCTTACTTAAAAAAAAATTAAAAAATTCATAGATTTATGAAAGTGACTGAGTGTGGTTTATTTGTAAATAAAAGTTTACCAATAGTGCATCACCTGATTCCCTTGTTGTAATTGTTGTGGCACTGGATGTGTAGATGTTAAATGTCCTTGAACTCATAGAGGCTTAACAATTCCAGAATTTGCGGCTATCAAAAGCACATGTTTAATATTTAAAAAAAAAAATACAATTGTACTTGATCCTCATCATTCTTATCATAGTCAAGTGTAGTGTCAAATGGCTTCAACAGGTTTTTCATATTGTGATTTCGTTGTTGGAACTTTAAAAGACTTATGTATTTATTGTGTTCATTTTTTAATTAATTTTTGGCTAAGTTGTGTTAAAAAAATTGAAATTTTTTACAAAACTGTTATCTTGCCTTATATGATAAATGAAGTGATCTCCAATACTGTAGAGTCTGTTTTGAATGGTGGGTTGTTAGTAATAGCTGCAATTATAATAAAGATATGGTCTAGCAAATCAATCATACTCAGTGGTAGAGGTGTTTTCAACAATCTAAAGTCTTTTACGCCAGCAATTGTACGCTCTACGTAAATTCTTGCTCGGGCTATCAGGGCAGTTTTAGTTAACTTACTGGTAAACTTTCCTTCGTTTTTAAGAAATGGTGGTATTACCAATTTAACTTTCCTTGCAATTAAAAGATCACTGATATTAAATCCTTTATCCACTATTATAACATCTCCTTCATTTAATGTGTTGAGGTACCCTGATGTTTTGACAATATAAAGATCTGAAGATGAACCACTGTATGCTTGAGATATATAATTAATTATTCTGGAAGGTGCTATGCTGATAGCTTTTTTCCAAGTGTTTCAATTTTTGTAACTTGAATATGTTTGAGCTTGTGGTTTGGCAATACTTGGTCGCTTACATTGACCTTCTGTGCAGTCTAGTATTGAGACCACATTATCTCCAAAAGGCTTAAAACATTCTGGGTAACAAGTTTTATTTTGCTCCCGAGTAACAGGCTGAATAAAAATTTTAAATTCAAGTTAATAAATAAAAAAAGAAATCCAGGTACTTAGGGTGCGAGAAACAGTACCTTTTGAAATACCAAAACGATAAGATAAGTCTTCATGGCTATACCCCACTCGAATCTTCATTAAAGTTAAAAGATCTTTACCATTCATTTGCTTTAATGGATCAAAAATTTTCATGGTGGTTGATTCGTTGTTTAGTGTGTTGTTTGAAGAAGAGTCACGGTAGTTTATGAGAAATGGAACTTTATGTTCAAAGCGCTTGTATAACCAATCATTAAACTTGTTTGTATACCCGTCATACTTTTCAGTTTTTACTTATTTCAGAATAGGATAATCTTTGCGACTTTTTAATTTTTTCTTTTAAACCAATGATTTCTTCATTAAGATTTTTTATTGTTTTATTTGTCGAGTCTAGTTGGTTAAATAAATTAAAACAATTGTCTTGCTTTTTACATAAAAGTAAATGAATATCTTCTTGAAACATCCTGCAATGAGCACTGCTTTCCGCATCCGTAACACAATAATTATGAAAATCATTAGTCTTTGGAGTCCCTGTACAAATTTCTTGTTTAACTGTATCAAAATGAATAGTGCTGACATAATGGATGATGTATTGAGTTTTTTTGGTGGCTCTCTTATAGTCGGTGGTTTATGTTTAACTCTATCATTTGTTATGTTGTATCCTTGCATGTATAAAGTGTTCACGATGCATTCTGTATTGTAATAACCTGCAGCAAAATGGTTAGAACAGACAGACATTTGAGTTTGGTATTTAAATTTTTATAACAAATAACAAAAGTTGTTTTTATATCAGCATTTTCTATAAAAGTACTGTTTTAAATGACCCCTTAGGAAGGTCCAGAATGCATTGCGGCAAAAAGAATGCGGTTGCACTGGGAACAGATCTATTACGTTGAATTTTTTTATTAATCAAATTTAAAAGGGGTTTTAAAAGCTGAAATATTCAAATAAAATTTATGAAAACCAAAAAATAAAATAAATACTGAAATATAAATTTAAATAATAATTAATTGCATTTTTTAATTTAAATGATAAAAACCGGGCTATATAATTCAAAAAATATTTAATGCTTCGGTGTCTTAAAAAATGAATCAGCTCAAAATAATGGTGTATTTTATTAACATAGCTTCATTTTCTGTTTTGTATAAAAAATAAAAATCAAAAAATGAATTTTATATACACTACTGAAATTTATTAATAATTTTGAAACAACTAAAATAATTATAAAATAAATGCACACAAAATACAGGTTGGTTGAAATTACAGATAGATATCCTTTTCACTAGACAAGTATTGAGCATGAATGGGCCTTTTCATTCATCATATATGGTATAATCCCGCATATTTATGCTTTTTTTTTATCAAATCCCGCATGGGCCTTTTACAGCCACCACGCCCCTGATATGGTGATATATAAATATGATATTATGTTATATGGTAGTATATGATTAATTAGATAGATAAATGTAAACAACTTATATATGAGAAAGTTGGGTCCTGAACACTTTAAGAAAAAAAAAATGTCAAAAAACTTTTATAAAAAGTAGAAACACTGAGTTAAACAAAGGAACAATTATAGTGCTCTTTGAAACATATAAGGAAAAATATTTGAAAAAGAACATACTTTAAACAGTATTTCACTTTATTTAAATCATTAGGCACAAACTTATAATTTATACATTATTCAACTTGCATTTTATCATTCCAGTTGTAATAATCAGGATTAATATAAACACAATTTTTGTGTGACTAATCCTATAGATTTATAGGGTTTTTTAAACTCTTAAATATAATTAATATAGTTCAACCCCATCCAAAATTATAGGACCATGATAATTTTGATATTATTTTAAAGTTCATTTAAATCCCCACTAGTCTGATAAAAAGGAATTGGATTGAAAGATTTTAAAAACCCATTTTGGTGGATTTGATCCATCAGTAAATCAAAACCAAATGTAAAT